AGAAAACAGCAGGTGGAGCATTTTTTTTATCTGCGGCCCATAGGGGCGCGTCAGTCGAGAATTGTTCGAGACCTGCAACTGTGCACCACTGTTTCTGAGGCTATTCAAAGTGTTGCGCTGTTGCACCATCTGCCACAAGTGACGCTAGCGACCGAGAACATTTTCAGAATGAAGGAGGAAAAAGGTGTGGCCGCTGTTTTTCTTCTCATGCAGCAGGCATCTTCCTAGAGGAGGCTTTGGCTTGGCATGCCCTCTGGCACGGTGGAGGCCACCGTGGCGGCAACGAACATGGTGATTGGCAACAATGGCGTTCGCCACATGTCCACCATGGTCACACGCAGCCACGCAGCAAACACGCCATACCTTTTTAAAATGCCATAACTGCGCTTGCCTACTAGAAAATTCATATTTTCCAAGAAGCGTTGGTGACTATGGCAACACATTTTTATTTTTCTCGTGAAGTTTTGTCGTCCCGCCGTTAGGTATTCGCTGTGGTCAGCAGACCAATGTGTGCGCGGCGTTGTTACTTCTTTATCTGGTCGATCACGTCTCCCAACTTCCCAAGTGTCCTTATCTAACGAGTATATAACTTATACCGTGGTTTTTAGGGTTTGCGCGCTTGGTTTGATTTCTCGCTGAAATTAGCGCACCTGAGATAATTTTGAGGCTGGCCTGGGATTTTGGCGCAGCATGGAGCAATTTCAGGAAGTTTTATAGTTCCAGTGCAGCTCGTGGCAACAATGGGGGATTGTGTCAAATTGGTGCAATTGGCGCAGCTGTTGCACCCCTGTTCAGTTTTTGAATTATTCAATTACTATGTTTTTACTTTTTATCAGATCTCATTTGTTTTGGTTCATTGCACAGACTAGAGCTTTTTATATGTGTCTGTAAAAAATAAAAATTTTTGACGAGCAAAAATTGAGTTAGTAGTGTTTGTGCAAAAGTTTTAATACAAATATTAATTACCAAAAATTAACATGAAATATGAGTTATATTATAATGCTTACATGTGCCTAAAAAGATGTGCTTTATATTGCAGGCTTGTAATTTCTAGTGATTATTGCTTTTTAAAAACATTTTTCCATCACTTGACCTCATATCTTAATCAGCATGCAAGAAAAAATTGGCTGATAGGCTGAGGTGTAATTTACAACAATTTTGTTTATACCAAAGAAGTCTCTTACTCGCAAAACTTCACAAAAAAAACTAATGTGCAATGAAATCGGCAATCTGCCGAAAAGTCAACTAGTTGGGATGCAAATCACAGTAAAAATAAGAATAATGAGTGCCGACCAAAAAGGTGTTGTCGAAAACGAAATTACAACTTGTAACACCACAATTTTGGTCAGCTCTCATTATTTTTCTCATTGCTATGCCACAGATGTGTGATGCCACACCAAGTTCTCATGTCACCTTATTTAAATGCGCTTATGGCATCAGCTAGGGTTTATTTTATGCTAAAAAATATGGACCATCTTTGTTTCATAAGTGCTAAACACTAAAGTGAGTAATATTTGAAAGTTCTCACAAAGTGGCAGTAGCCCAGATAAACAAAATGCTTTGAAACAAAGTGCACCAACTCCCTATGAGCACATAGGTTTCAGGTCACCGCTTTGGAAAGTCAAGTTTGGCCTTCATTTGTGCGTAGAGCTTATGCAGTGCAAACACTGAACACTACACAATACATTTAAACTGGTTTAGCGGTTTAATTTAGAGCACACATTAAGGGACCCCAAAAACATTAATTTTGCTCACTCGCAAGCTAGCTTGTGATGCATACACTGTAACAGTGCTACAGCACATATGAATGATAGGTGGGGTTTAATGTCCTAAAACTACCACATGATTATGAGAAACACCGTGGTGGAGGGTTCTGAAAATTTGGACTGCCTCGGGTTTTTTAACGAGCACCCAAATCTGAGTACATATGTCTACCACATTTTCGCCTCCATCGAAAATCAGCTGCTGCAACAAGGATATGACCTTGTGAACTGCGGGTCAGCAGCCACTAGACCATTGCGCCAGGGCCTGCGGCACATACCTGTAGTAAAATCAAAGACAGGATGAAATAGAACGCTGACCACAGCTCTAAACTTGCCCTACATTCTCAGCAAGTCACGCAGCCAGCGGATGCAGTTGCCTCAAATGGTAGGATATGCTGTTGAAATTTTGGAGGCATTCCTATCACTGGAAGTATACTAGAAGGGAAAGACTGCTAGTGTTCTGTATGTGTTCAGTATTGTTATAGAGCAATGCTGGAAAAGACACCATGTTGCAATGTTATATACAGCTCCCTATATGAGCTTCAATGAACGGCTAGTCACAAGCTCGAGACGCAAAGTAATTACACCTATCCATGTCTTGATTGCTAGTTGAATGTTTCACAGTATTCATCCAAACAAACTACCCAGCAGTGAGCCCTTGAGGAAGACGGCATTCAAACAGGCACAAGCAGATGATAGCCAAAAGCTTTACGAGCCTACCTAAGATGAATCAATCTACCGAGAGCCTTGAAAATACAAAGGCTATGATGCAGTTCATGCCTTCAGCTCAACTTACATTTCTGCCCTTTGCAAAGCTGGAGAAGAGCACACATTTATTTTGCTTCTATCATTACTTCAGTACATTCTCTTTCAAAATGGATACAAGTCTGGTCAATGTCATCACCATCGACTGCAAACAATAAAAAAAAAAAAACTACAGGGTATCTTTGTGACCAGATATATGCTCTTTGATGTGGCTTATAGGTTGCCTGATATGCCTGGGAGCAATAATGACCTAAAATCTGCATTTGCAAGAGTTCTCGAACTTCTTGGTAAACAATGGTGTGAAGCACATCGTCACACCATTGGTATCATGCCGGGTCTGATGGCGCCACACAGCACTGTTCATAACACAAGCGTTGCTAAAACAGGCATTTAAAGAGAATGGTACGTGTAAGTGTCGTTTCATGACCAGGTTTTGGAATGGAGTTTTGCTGCAAATCGTTGTCGGTTGCAAATTGAGTGACTGTGCTGCAGAGAAGCATCGGCACTGAGTAAACAGTAAACAACCAGGCATCGCAGCAAGCGGCAGTGCTTTGCGAATGATCAAGTTCGCCGATGACGTCAATCGCTGACGTCTTGTCACATAGCCGAAGTGGTCGGAGTCACGATGACGAGCCATGCCTTTCCCTCCCTCTGAAGGAGGAGGGTGGCGAGGCCGCGCGAAAATTTGAAACCAGCTGAACGCGATGTTTTGGCCCCTGTACCTTCCCTATTATACCACATATTCGCAAAATTCTTGCAGCAGCATGTTCACGAAGTAAAAGTGCACATATTTCTCTTCACAACAATTTTTGGATCTTGGGGTTGTTTACTGGCCCTTCAAGGTAGTGTGAAGTAAACATGCCATTTGGGAAAAAGATAGTGTGCAACAAGTGGTCAGGGAAGTGACAAACGTTGAGTAAATACAAGGACACGTTCAATCCAGATGTGTCAACTGGTCGTACCATGTTGATCCAACACCAGTGTTAAAGCAACCCGTCGTGACAAAGGTGCCGCATGGTGTGACCCGCCTCCAGCTGAAAGGGCATGCAGACCTACAGTGCACCTTCACCATTTCTACTAGTTCCACATCACAACCAGCATTGCTGCTGAAACCTTCTCATACAGCTTGGATCGCACCACTTTATAGGTTCAAGCAAACTGAACACTATTTGGAAGAAGAAGTAGTAAAGCATTCCACTAACGAAACGAGGAGGTTTTTTGTGGACATGCACTGCACTGGTGTTCTGCAACTGGTGTTCAATCTGGTTAGGCAGTTCTCGGTGCTGGATGAGTGCCTAAGTACCGGATAGTTTTTATTTTTTACCTTGTATTTGGTGCGTTTTTCATTATTTCATGCAGAATCATTTTTGTTTTCTTGATCTAGTCTTGAGGCTGTACTGATGTCAAGGAATTCTCCCAGTCAGGATCGTTCCCCGTGGACGGCCTCGCTACACAATTATAACTTACCTCTTGACTTGTTTCTCCGCAGTGGCGTTAGCAATATTCCCATCGCTCTGGTACTTTTGGGTGGAAATTTCATTAAGCTGAATAACCCTAAGGTGACACAAGAACATCTCCATGCCGTGACCCTAAACTACCAGAGCATAACTGACGTGCGGCAGTTTGATCGCGGTGGCATTGTATGTCGAACACCAGATCAGCAATGTGTAAAGATCATCTTAAGTGTTCTTCATTTGCTTCGATCCCGGTAAGTGTGTATATAACACAACATCTCGCATGCACGAAAGGCATTGTGCGTGGGGTTGACGCACAACTAAGCCCTGCGGAGACGCTCGAGAAGCTGTCGGTGGCAGGTGTGGTTGCAGTTTACCGGCGCAATCGACTGGTTGACAACAAACGACATCCCACAGAGTCAGTGATTGCGACTTTTGCAGGTACGTCATGCCCTTCAGAAATTAAAGCATGGCCATTAGTATTTAGAGTAGATCAGTTAGCGTCCCGCCAACTACAATGTCAGAACTGCTGGAGATTTGGACATAGCTCTCGTGGCTGCCAATGGGAGGGTCGATGTCGTAGATGTGGTGAACGCCACTCAGATCAAGATTGTAAACCTCAAGATGACTTGTGTTGCTTGTGCGGTGCCCAGTTAAAAAAAGCAATTGAAACCAATTGGAAAATTTCCACCTGGTCCAATTGGTTCCAATTGTGAATTAGTACACAATTGAGCCAATTGGACCAATTGGTTTTACACCAATTGGTTTTACACCAATTGGTATAGAACCAATTGGTCCAATTGGTTGTGCACCAATTGGCCCAACACCAATTGGACCAATTGTGTATAATTCACAAATGGAATCAATTGGTTTTATGCCAATTGGCTCAAATGGTATAGTATGGCATGACCAATTGGCATCTAACCAATTGGACCAATTGTTTATATGCCAATTGGCTCAAATGGTACAGGACGTATTGATTAATGAATGCATGTAGACACCTTTGACAAAAATGCAATTATTGTAAAACAGAACATCTTTTATTTACAAACATAATATGCGGTATCTTGCCATGCAGGTCCAGCACTTTGCTACAGCCACATTGGTTAGTCACGCTGCACCCTGCAGAAACAATAAACAAACAGCATTTGCATGAAGGCTAGTTTCATTACAGTTAAAAAAAAAGTGGCTCACAATGAAAAGTGGAATTAAATGCACTTTAGGTTCAATACACATTGAAGTAGAGCCCCAACTTATCAAGCCAAAATTTGTTTACTACTGAAGTTAAAAAAATTGCAAAACAAAATTGCGGTTGGTGTACCTCTTTGCCATCTTGTCGATGTCTGCGATTTTCTCTCCAACATAATGGTTCATTCGCTTCATGAGCGTTTGGACCGCACTGTCTGGGAAACCTTGCTTTTCCAAGCGACGCTTGTAGCAGGCTGTTAAAAAAAGGCATTTAAACATATATAAGATACACAGGTATAATTATTAACATAAAGCTAAATGAATCCATTATAGAATAAAAAATACGCTTTGTTTTTAGGCAGCTGCACATGAAAATTTTAGGTAGCATCTTCAGTGGTGTCAAAATGGCATCTCATAGCAGAAAAGATATCAAAAGCACTCATTATTACTTCGGTAGCAAAGCATTTTGGATATAAATGACACAAAAACAATGCAGAATATAGAACTAATGAATCTATTCATGAAGTTATCGTGAGAAATTTTTTTAAAACAGATTTTAAATGTAATATCAGTTAACCATCTATGAAATTCACCATTATGTATTTTCGCCTCATAAACTGCATACATCATGAGTGATACTATTAAGAAATGTCCCAGAAGAATAGACCTCTACCAGGGTACATCACAGTGCGACGTCGCTAGCGCACGTGGAAGGTGTGGTTGGCGAAGCATTACCTCTGGTGCCTCAGTGCAGTACGGTCGTGCGATGTTTGGGGAAAGTTTTTTTCTTTACTTTCTTTTTTCAAAGCCTAACTTCATGTTACAATGGCGACATCAGCTGTAGTACATGTCAGTGAACATCTAGCTGTGTGGTAAACTGCGTGATGAAATATTTGCCACGCTGGCTGTTTATCTTGAAGAAGTGAACACACGTGGTGGCCTGTGCGAGGAAAAGCGGCATCGTCTTGGAAAATGTGCACTCTATTGTGGAGTGTAGTGTACGTTAAAAGGCATCAACAATATCGGTTCATCTTGACATCTGCAAAGGTGAACCTGAGAAGATTGTGTGTGGTACGTGCAGGGTGAATAACGATGTGGCTTGTTTGCAAAAACATAGGCGCTTGTTTTGGGCTGGTGGCAGCGACCGGTTGTCTACAGAACTTGATTCAAGATTTTAGTGAAGGTAAATATGCATTTGACACGGTCATCTGCGAGTCTGTACATCTCAGCATTTGCGCTCTGTGCAGGAAAAAAATTGCATGATCACCGGGCTGAAAGATACCACTGGTAAAGCTAAATATACGCTTCGCCCCAGCGAGTACACAAACCCAATAAAGGTATAACTCGTTTTATCAGAGGCCTCATATGACTTCATGTAAAAGGCAGAGATTCTTGTTTCACATATACTTAGTACCTTTACTGCTCGATATTCATGAAGTGAAGATGCACACTAGAAGTTTGTGTGTTAGGTCTTAAGGGAACAATGTAAGTATGCGAATACCTTGTATGCATCAGATGCAGTGATGTGACTGTGCAAAAGATAACGTATGTAATTAAGTTAAAGAGTTTAAAAATGCATAAATTTTCAGAGGGGTATGAGGAATGTAGCTGACAACTTTGCTTTAATTTTCACAAGGATTTGTTAACCTCAGCCGAACACACGACAAAGTGTTTTCTTGTTTGTTCTTGTTTCTTTTCCCATTCATCTTCGGTCAGAATTTTGCGGCACGAGTGAGAATTTTCTTCATAACCTCTCGCACAGCAGCTCAAAACCTTGCTGCAGCCAATGCTGTGCCTCGTTTAAAACTGCGATGCACATGTCGCAACGAAAATTGGGTACATTTAGGTCTATACCATTACAATATTTCTCAAAGCATCCGTCACCGTGAATACGTTTGCTTTTGAAGAGGAAAAATGTTTTTTTAATGGCTGCCATCTATGGCAGCCTACAACAATTCACCAAAATTTCAGCCTGACGAATGCAGACACATGCAGCCCTGCTAGTATGTAGAAAGATCCCGCTAGCGGAACTTTCTTGTCAACCAGCCCCAGCGCCGTAGGAAGGAATGGTGGGCACAGTGCTCATAGTGACGTCACATTATTTGCAAACAGGGAGAGGTATCTATAAAAACACCAGATCTGTGCGGAAGGCACAGCACAGTCACAGCGAAAGCTAGAAGAGCGACCTTTCAGAGCCTTTTCGAAACACTCATTGGTAACTAGTACAAGCACACTTGCTTGATACCCACTAGGTCATTATTAATAAATTTATTTGGGTAGTAGGCCAGCATTTGCTATGCTGTTTTTCGTCATTCTTCTGAGAAGCGTGGTATCCGCTAAACACTTGCAAGGAATTTTGTGCCAATTTATGCAGTGACTGACAACGATGAGGAATTATGCCTAAAATGGGTATGCGCCACAGTTAATAGCTCAACAAAAACAAGATTTTGTAATGGGTTGGAGCATTGGATGACCCACTTACTACGCTGTTCACATTGTGCGACAACTGCTTGTTCTTTCGCTGTTTTAAAACGCTTTATAAGTCGTATTAACGCAATTGCTTTCTCGACATCAAGCCTGCCTAAGGCAAGTTTGCCAACAAGTCCCAAGCTCCGGCGTGGCTCAGTGGCAGAATACTGGGCTGGCACCCAGTGGACCAGAGTTCGAGCCCCACTGTGTCATTAGTTTTTTTCGCTATGTTCGCGCAAGACCTGAGTTGTGATCTCACAACAGCTTTCGCTGTAATATATGTGCATAGTACTGGGTCTTGGTTGAACTTCAGCACTGTAAACTGTGCAAAGTGAGGTAACTTAGTTATTGGTGCTTCATTAGAACACCATTTATGAGCTCACACACTGACGAAATGGGATATATGTTGATACTCACTTCGCATGACAGACACCTTCCATGGTGTCAATGGATCCTTTCTCGGCCGATTTGGGAAACGAGGACAATGCTTGCCTGCAGAACATTATACATTAAGCAATTTTAAACACTGCATTACTGGCAGTTCAAAGTACTGGAAATTACCTTGCAATGATCGTCCTTGTAGCTGAGCTGGATCCCAGATTGTCACCAGCAGATCCTTAATGAACAAAGAATCTTTGTCCCGAGCCTGCACACGACGCCATGTTTCCAGCGGAATTCGCAGCCCTTGTCCAATGTCAACCTGCAGAAAATAAAAGCAGCAGTAACACATGAGTGCCATTCACAATGCTTAAATTTAATGTACCATATATAAAGGTTTTCAATTGAGCAGAACTATTCTGTGTGAAGTTCACAAATAAACGCATGTAATTGAACAACAGCTTCTTGCTTATCACATAAAACTAATGCATGCTTTCCTTCAAATTTCACGAAGAAACACTGCAGCTGAGTCATTGAAGCCTTAGTGGTTTACAGTGCACTAGGGCAATGATACACCATGGTTTGTGGGCTGTAACTGGAACATGAGGAAGTGAACGGATCACTTGCAAAGAAAAACATACACCTGTCAAAGAACTAGGCCAGGCTTATGAGCTGAGGATTTCAAGTGTAGTTACTATATGATTGCTGTCATTATGTAGGCACTAAGCACAGCTTTTTCTAAAATAAAACTGAGTCTCAAACATCTCACCAAGCTACCGCCTGATGCACCAGCTTGCGCCTTCAAGGGAGAATGTGGGCACTCTCTGGTGGGTGATGAAGGGGGGGATGGTGTGCTGCTAACTGCTGGAAGAGTGATGTCCATGCTGTGTGGCAGAGGGGTGCCAGGGCTGTGGGACTGAGCAGTAGGCTCTGCACTTTTGTATCTACTGGAGCCTACATGAAAATTGCACATCAGAAACTGAAGTGAACCAACTAACATTGGAACATGGTTATTCGCTTAGAAGGTACATTTGCTACATATAGATGGGGACGAAGGAAGGACACAAGACATAGCGCTAAACTACATCTGATTATTCATTTTTGATGGAACGACCTATATGTACCAAACATGCCAATAACAGCAGTCTTAGTCCAAGCACTAGCAAAGAATAAAGTAAGCAAACTACACTTACCTTGCACACTGCCTATGGCTTATCAATGTTCTGAAATTCTACCTCATTTCTTAAGAGCGTTGTGGAAGCAAAGCTTTCAGGACACTTGTCAGAAGTGTATGAAATTGATTGCAGGAAAGATGCTAAGGCGCATTGCCGGGCTAGTTGGTTGGGGTTCATCATTTATATGGGTATAGCGCACCACCACAAGGACATAAAAAGATCTGCTGTATCTTAACATGATCTTTTCCAGGTTTTACCGGTCTACTGTTATTGTATAAATAGCATGTGTGATCGCAAATGAAACAGTAGTTGCAAGTTAGTGCTAAGTGTGTGTCTCTGTGTCCTTGTGGTGGTGCGCTATACCCATATAATCGCAGGAAAGAAAATGGTGTGAGGACCCCTTCCACGACACCTAAGAATGGACATAGAATTTTTGAACGCTGATAAGCCATAGGCAGTGTGTAAAATGGTGTGTTGTTTTGTAAAACTTTTTTGATGATGCTTGGCCAAAGAGTGCTGTCATAGGCTATTTACGTCCATATAATTTTGCTCCATCAGAAATTAAGCATCAGTTGTAGTTCAGCACTATATGCCTCGTGAGTTCATTCTTCGTCCCCGTGTATATGCGCAGTAGAGTTTAATGATGCAATACCAACTAGCCCAACAAAGCATCCTCGTGAACTTAACTTGCTAAATCATTCTTACACTCTTGTTTACAGAATATTCCTTCTACCAAGAGTGTGTGCCACCACTTCATATATAATATACCAATTAGACTTGCCTTCTCTGATCTTGACTAGGAGCTCCTTTTGGAGATCTCTGTTCAGCCCTCGAAGCTCTACGAGTTCCTCGTTCTGAGCATCTATTTTTTTTGCATTTCTGCAACTTTTTTTTGGAGCTCATTCAGCTCAGCCTCCTGTGAGGGTGAGACCTTCACAGCTTTTTTCTTTTTTTGTAGAATTTTTAAAAGCCGCTCCCTACTCTCGGAGGGCTTGTCTTGTTCCTAAAAATAAAACATGAGCAATAAAATACTGGGCAATATTTCTTTTATGCTTGGTCAAGCAATTACATATAGGGTGAACCATACCTTCGATGGTGCAACATTGCTGTCGCCATCGCTGGCTTGATCAGAATCTTCAATTAGGGGCCTCACCCGCACCCTTTTTCGGGACACAATTTCCTTCAAGTCTTGTTCCGACTCTGGAATACACAACATTCTATTACAGTACAAGTCGTAAGCTAGAAAAACGGTGTAACTGAAGACTACCATAAAAGCAACATGGCCCAAGAGAGCAATATGATTGTAGCAAGAAATGTTAACCTAGAAAAACGTATCTGTCTCAACAGATTGTGATACATACATATAAAGGTTAAAGCTCTTTACATAAGCAAATGACACAAGCTCACGTGTTTGAAAAGGCAAACTAAAAGATTGGTGAACCATCAAGAAATATATTCATGTGTGCACATAATTTCGCGTGTACATTCGAATTTAATGGCTATATATCTGAATCAATTAAATGCTTGATGTCGTTTGATCACATAAATGACCACAGTGCACGCCATATTTACCTGGGTATATGACAAAGAGTGGGTGTACACGTGAGTGTACGCAAATATAATTAGGAAGTTCTACAATTTGTGCGTTCAAAGAAACCTAGAGCGCCTAGCTCACTTACGTTTTTTCATGCATCTGCCTGTTCTAGCCCCTACATTAAACGGGGCACGTAATTTTAATTTTGCCGAATTGCACGAACTTCGATGAAAATCGCCCTGCACTGACGTATACACGATCGATTTATCGCACGTCACATCGTTGCTGCGTGGAGCACGAAACAATCGAACTAATTCAATGCAGCCTTAAAAATGCACAAACTTACCTCCAACCCGCAAAATTCTTGCGCGGTAGTAGGCACATGTGCCGGTGGAATCGGTCCATTTGACCATAAAGAAGGCTGTCGAATAATCCTCATTCGGATTGAAATTTTTTATGTCTTCCACTGGCACGATTGCCAAATGTTTGTCGTCCTGGTATCGAACGTAAGCGTGAGTAATCATCGCTGCAACGTTCCGATTCCAACACCGCAGACAATCACGCACAACACACAGAACACACTACACACGTTCTCGAGCAGTACGATGCCACCATTACCACGTTTTTTTCCGAAAAGCTGCTGCAAGCTCATTGATGTTGATGCTAGTTAGGCCGTCCTGAAGTGACAAGGATGGCGCCCAGCTAGAACTAAAAAAGCAAAATAAGTTAGACACTGACACTGATGCTAAAATAAAATGTTATTGCTGTTGAAAAATAGTTTGATAAACTTATTATTTGGCATTCAAATCCCCCATAAATAAAAAAGTTACGCCAATTTTGAGGCCATTGTTGAGCTTGTTGGCTCGTTGCACGCAGCAGCGCGGCCATGGAGGCCTCCGTGAGCGCGGCAGACGTCGAAAACAATTTTTTTCGGCTTTTGTGACGTGATAAATGCCAAGAAAAAAACGTTTTCTTTTTAGGTTGCGTTCACTGACCACTTGCGGTGAGCTATTGTAAACAAACGTATGTTTGGTATGTTTGCGGCCGCAGGACTGTGGTAGCGTGGTCGTTCTGTGGCGTGGGTCGGTGTTCTGGCAAGTGTTCTGTGGGTCGGTCAATCTAGCGTGTAGAGCAAGTGGTGGTCAGAGCGCATTCAAGTTTTACACATAGACGAGCGCATAGCGGTCACCGCCACATATTAGCAAGATGGAACCGCAGAAGAAACGGAAAAAGCGCGGAAGGTATAAAAAGTATCTGAATCCAAGCAGTGTATGCAGTGTGCCCAGATCAACAGACTCATCAGCTAGGCTGCGGCTCGCTAAAACTGTAAGTAAACTTCTTTAATTGTCTCGACTCTATCAGATTATCGGCAAAAAATGTCCTTGTTAAATCTCAATAATCTTGCCGCGCAGGAATCCATAAAGGATGGCTCACACAATAAAAGTTCGGATGAAGGTCCGCTGGATTCGCGGCCGCCCGTCGGTCAAGCGGAGTACACGGTACCGCAAAATGCGACATCGATGGCCGCTGCGGTGTTGGCGGCGGACAGTGCTGTGCAGCATGCGAATAATGACGACGATGGGCAGCGATTCCGATGGAGCGAGCAGCCTATGTTCTAGAACGCTGGTACGTAGATGGATGCCTTCGTCTCAAATATTGTACGCAGTGCGTTGAATGTAACAAGTACGTACGTTTGTGTTGGTGCGTGCACGCGTGCTGGAAAGTGCACCTACAAACATAATTTCCTAAAGCATTGGCTTAATGATTTCGAGAATGCGTGCTCAATTTAATTAAGAGGCACAGTTAAATTTAATTAGAGAAACTGTTGAGCCTCATTTACCACAACGTTACGATTGAAATCTTGGGTCCTTTTCTTGGAGCTGGTTTTCATAAAAGAAAAAGAAGCACGCGCGGGGGGGGGGGGGCGCAACATTTGTTTTACAGAGAGTTACAGTATATATCCTTTAGTCGTGTAAAAATTTGCAAGAGACAAATATGTTTTTAGTATATTCTTTGCTATTTATTTTTATGATTTATCTAAATGCATTTTTTTTTTTGTCTAGACATCTCCGCAGCCAGCCATTCCGGGTGATCGAAGTGAACGACAGAGAGATCTGCAAGATATAGATGATGGAGGTGATTACAGTGGAGACTGTGCCGCCACTGTGTATGATCCATGTGGTGCAAATCATTTCATCAGTGATGATGACAACACAGATTTTGGCAGTTGTGATGACACAACTGACCCTACAACAATAATGGTATGCTTCCACATAATAATTGTATTCATGTAAACCTTACAATGAATTTTTTCTGCAGGGCACTCAACATGATACTGTGGACAGCGTGACTCGGGGCGTGTTTCTATCTGAATGTAACAGTGAAGTGTGTGATGTGGCTGATGGCATAGACAGTGAGGGACCTTTCAATGGAAACTTGTCAACCGATGCCGACACAAACAGGACACAACTTGGAGATTTGTTTCAGGAGGTCCTGAATGAAAAGATTGTCGTTTCAAAAGGCGAGATGCTTTTGATGATATTTAAACATGCCATAAAAAGTAATTTGTCTTTTACAGCAATGGTGAGTTTGATTGAAATGGTCAACATGTTTTTTGAACGACCTGTTCTGCCACATTCACGATACCAGCTTGGCAAGCTTTTTTCAGAGCATGGCACCGAGATGAGTTTTCATTTCATTTGTGGTAAATGTTCGACAGTGCACGAGGTCGCACAATCCTATGCTCAGTCGAGTCATTGTCAAAAATGTGGCTGGGCTCTAGCTTCCTCAGTAAACAGCGAATCATTTTTTGTCCTATTGGATGTCCCCTCTCAACTTCGAAAGGTTTTAAAGAATTGCAGCTTTCTTGACCTGACAAAGCCCTTAAGTCAAAGCAGTAACCTTTCTGATATTTGTGATGGAGAATTATATCGCAAATTTGTTTCTGCTACAGTAGACGAAGGGCACAGGATTAGCTTTACATTAAATGCAGATGGCACACCACTATTTTCATCCAGCAACACTTCAATTTGGCCTATACAGCTACTGGTGAATGAGGTGCCCATTATGCAAAGAGGGGACAAACTTGTGTTGGCTGCTCTTTGGTTTGGAAAGAAAAAGCCAGATATGAGCATTTTTCTTGATGTGTTTGTAGAGAAAATGGAAGGTTTGGCACAGAATGGCTTTGTTCTTGATCATGAAGGACAGCCGAAGCTGTTCAAGGCTTATTGCATTTGCTGTGCAGTTGATTCAGTGGCAAGAGCCCCCATGCAAGGGGTCATGCAATTTAATGCATACTATGGGTGTAACTGGTGTCTGCAAAAGGGGGAACGCATTGCAGGCACTACCAGGTACCCAGTAGAGAAGAATGAGCCACCAGAGCGTTCTGAACAAGAAATTATGGAAGATGCAGAAACTGCATTGCAACAGGATCATTCTGAAAGAGGAGTGAAGACAGTTTCTCCACTTCTAAACTTGCCACATTTTGATATAGTCTGGGGTTTTGTCCCCGATTATATGCATAGTATTTTGTTGGGAGTGGCGAGGCAGTTTTTAGAGATGTGGATGGCTGATGCACAGTGTGATTTCTATATTGGGAAGCATCAAAGAACGATTGATGAAAGGCTGACAGCACTGGCTCCTCCTAGAGAAGTGCGCCGGTTGCCAAGAGCAACAAAAGAAAGAAAGTGGTGGAAGGCCAAGGAGTTTGAGAATTGGGTGCTCTTCTACAGCCTGCCAGTGCTGCAAGGAATTTTGAATAAATCTTGCATCAGTCACTGGGCTTGCCTTGTTGAGGTGCTTCACATTCTGCTGTCACGTAACATAAGTTTGTCACACTTTCAGCGAGCAGAAGAACTCCTTTTGGAGTTTCACGTCATGGCAGAAGCCATATATGGGAAAAAATGCATGACATTTAACCTACATCAACTTGTGCACATTGCAAAAAGTGTCAAGCACTGGGGCCCACTGTGGGCGCATTCGGCATTCCCGTTTGAAGCTGGCAATGGCGCATTAAAGTCCATGGTAAAAGCTGCAAATGGCGTACCACACCAAATTTGTAGAGCACATCAAGTTGAGGACTTGATCGACAAGCTATCAAGCATAACAACAGACAGGAGAGTGCTTGACTACTGTATGTCGCTCGACAAAAGAGCCACACAGAAGACAGTTGTTGCTGAAGACATTCGCCTTTTTGGTAGGGGTGTCCCATACAGAAGTGATGCTTCTACAGATCTTGTGCAGTACACCCGTATGCTTATGAAAGGGACAGTATACACGAGCCATAACTACTCGTCAAAAAAAAAGACTAACAGTTCTGTCGTACGCCTTGCTGACCAATCATATGCGGTTATAGAAACAATTCTTATGAAACAAGGCGAAGTGTACATTGCAGCCAGGCGCCTCCACTGCTCAGCAGTAAAATATAGCACCTTAGTGATGGAACATTTGGTGAAGGTTCAAAGAGAAGCAGCAACAACAACTCTTGTATCAGCATCAGAAATTTTCAGTGTTTGTGCACACATGCAAGTAGGCCCGAACATATTCATTTCACCCGTGCCTAGCTCGTTCACAATGTAAATTTTCAAATCTGGTGTGCAATTCTAATAGACCATTTTCAAGCACACCATCGCCACTAACAAGTGCGGAAGCACTCACGGGTAAAGTTGGTATGCCAGAGCAGCCAACGGCAAGAAGTATGCGGGCCTCACGCTTTACCGCTTGCGTCATTCCAGGACTTCTTAGAGACCTTGAATTTGGCTAGGTGCAACATATTACTGCGTAATTCAATTGCGAACTTCAGTGTTCAGCTGCGAGGGCTTCTCGACTATTTCCATCAGTCTCACTATAGGATTTTTTAAGTGGCTCAGAAGTGTCATCCCCCTTTTGTTTTCCTTTATGGCAAAAAATGAAATAAAATAGATACACTCTGTTGCCTATGAAACGCTCGAGCAGTCCTACATTTGGAACCAATGTCCACTGACACTGTCTACGAGTAGAATGTGAGGTTCTGATTTTGAAGAGTTCTATAGAAAGTATAGTCCGCATTTAATAAAATAAGATACAATCACTGAACGGCCGTGTGTGTTGCTTGCACCATATGTGATGATTTGATTTGTGGGGTTTAACGTCCCAAACCACGATATGATTATGAGAGACGCCGTAGTGGAGGGCTTTGGAAATGTCGACCACCTGGGGTTCTTTAACGTGCACCCAAATCTGAGCACACGGGCCTACAACATTTCCGCCTCCATCGGAAATGCAGCCGCCGCAGCCGGGAATCGAACCCGCGACCTGCGGGTCAGCAGCAGAGTACCTTAGCCACTAGACCACCGCGGCGGGGCTTCCACCATATGTGTAACGAACGATACGTGTCTACTAACCTTCATTGGCACTATAACTACAAGTTGGGATTGTACTAGAGCAAATAAAAAGCAGGACAAAAAAGGGGATACAAATTCTCTTACATATATCAATTAATTCAAATATTTGTAGCTTCTTCATTATTCACGGGCAAAGTACATCCATATTTATCTTTCTTAGCCTTGCCAACCAATTTTTGCAGACAGATGCAACAATGCACAGGATCCCCTGCCTCTTTGAGGCAATCGATTTGTAGCTGGAAACTACTGCTCATTTTATGTGAGCAAGTTTTTTTTTTTGATGCCGTGTGTAGCATGACGTTACAATACCTCGTTTAGCAATATTCGAATGCTCTGACATGAAATTAAGACACTGGTTTCGATGAACCAGTCGTGCAACCTAAAATCAGGTACCAAGAAACAGCAAATTATCATAGCAAGGAACCTCACAAATAAATTCTAGTTCCGTTCCTTTTTAAACGCATTTAGAATGTGCTCACTTCTTTGCACAGTGCAAAGAAGTGAGCACTTGTGAATTAAAATAAAATAATCACTGTACCTAAACACTGTAAAACCTTTCTGCTGTTTTGTTAAACCCGATCATGGACAATTAATTGTTAATCGTTGAACAAGTAATCATTTATAATTATGGATTTGGTGTTCCAGCTCCCACTGCTCACGATAGCACGTTTTGACTTATGTATCGGCATGTGATCATTCATTCGCGTGCCGACTGTATCATTCCTTTAGCATTTAATGTGTAGATATACATGCAGGTGCGTTCAGACATGTATAGTATTTTGGATGTAATAGTCAACATTTGGGGATGCCTCTTAATTTTTCTTTTTTGTTCGGTGCTCCCACGGCACCAACGAGCAGCGGGTGATCGAAAACAGCTGGCGCGTTTGACCGATTCAACGTACACACTTTTCCCATAGTGCTTCCCATGCCTGCGAGGGCTCTGGGATTGCTTGAAAATGGTCTATTTGTTTTGCACTGAGGGGACTCGGCATGCTCATATGGTTCAGATGTGCTAAGGATATTTATGATTAAATTGACACTAGATAAAACTGGTATCCCATCTTGGTGAAGTGCTTATCCTTACCACTTTTTCTGTACAACTCGAGAGCTCTCCTAACTGGTATGTGGCACATTATATGAGCATTCGAGTTTTTCTTTAGAAGGGCTTGTATGCTAATTGTCACTATGTGATTGCGTCATTGTAACTGTTGTATTATATGTTGTATATTCTTTTTTCAATGTGCATTTTATGAAATGCCATAATCAAGGAAGTTAAGACATTTGCTTAGGGAGCATAGGGACTCGGGTTTAAATCGCACTAATAGAGTGAAAATTTGTTGTTGTTTTTTTCATTTGTATTTTTATGATTGTCCTAAGTCACAAAGTGACATATACTCTTTTCTTCTTGTCCTTGCATATAATTGCTAGTGCTTGAAGTTCGGTAAAATTATGATTTCAGCACTGCTCATTGTCGCTATGTTATTGCAACATTGCAACTATCATATTGTATGTGCTATTTTTTTTAATATGCATTTTATTAAATACCATAATCAAGGAAAGAAAAATGGGTTTGTAGCCCACTGGTTAAAGGGGTCCTGACAAAATTTTGTGGCTGAGACAGCCTGCAAGGTCGATTCCCGTGAGCATTTGTATATCATCTGCAAAATATCAACTGCAAATATAGGTTGGAAGGTATTTTAAATCGATTTTGGAAGTTTGCATCTTGCCACTGACACCCTCGAAGGGAAACCTTTGAAGACCCCCTACTTCCCTTCAGTCACCATGCTGCAGTCAATAAAACAAGTTATGATGACATCATAGCTGCCTTTTTTGTTGCGTTTGTTATCGGAGTCTATACTTCTTGGCGGCTGCTTG